CCAATAACTCATCATGTACTTGGAATGCTGCCTTCGAGGACACCCTTCATTATCTTTTTAAATGTCCCAACTATGATTCGATAAGAAACGATTTATTTTATTTCAAACATGGATATAACATAAATGATGCTCTGTATGGTAACCTAGAATTATCTAGATCTATAAATCATGATATTCTCAAATCAGTACATTACTTTATTACCTCAAGAAGATTTAATCAGTCTGAAGTTTTCATCTGTTCAGAACTAAAAGTTTTGTTGCTGTATGGATGTTATATTCATGTATATTGTATGCAAAATGTTATTTATGATATCATATACTTTTGTATTAACTTTGTATTAAAATAAGCTTTTTGTTGTTTGCCGATGCAGTTTCTGAACAATATATCAGAAATGAATATGTTTAAACCGAATTTTCATCTAACAATGAAACGCACACACACTTGAGAAATCATAAATCGTGTCGCATTGTCAATATAGACTATAGCCCTTAAACAAAGGCTCACGCTTCAGTGGCTAGTGCTAATTACCTGGCTCGCATCTCTCACCTAGCCATAGTGCAATGTTGTCTTAACAAGACCTTTTTTGTTAGACTCTGGCTAAGTGAGAGTGACGATCTTGCGGGCTTGTCTTGGAGATTGTATATGCGCTTCCCAACATGTTTAGGAAATACATGCATAATTATAAATCGCTGCGAGTTTCAAAACGATAATACTATATCTGTATATAACTAACCAACTTTAATCTTTAACATTGGGCTTATATTTCACATCTACACATTTACAAGTTGTAGATACTAAGTACCATTAGAATGAAACAGGGATAGAGTTATCGTTCTCGTTTGAAGTAGTTCTGATATGATGTTCATACGCCAATATGAAATCCTTCGAGGTTCCACTACACTAAATCAGAATCACCTGCTCGCCGAGCCAGTCTGTTTGTAAACAACTGAAGAGACAGAGACATGTGACATATGTGATTGGATGAAATAGTGTAAGATGTTTATGTTTTTTAAAAAGTACAGTAATTAAAACTGACCACAATTTTAAGTATTTAGTGCTGTCATTTTTATCATCATGACTTATGATTATGTGTGTATATATATTTTCCAGTAGGTGACATTTGGTGCGGAACTGGGGTTGATGTGTTCAGCTTCCTGTGCTCGGAAAGTTGGCAGGACAAGTTCGCCAGAAATTGTGTTTTATTGTAGTTTAAAGGCCAGACTGTACCGATGAGTACATGGCCATAATAGCTGTTGACAGCTTAGATAATTTATATAAGGTTACTATAGAAGTCTATGGGAAAACATTTGGTGTTGTGTAACCTCGAGAAGGGCACGAGTCACTATTCGGTTTTCCCGGAATAACACGAGTGGGTCACGAATTTTTTATTCACCCCGAGTGTGAGTTGTACTTTTTACGAGCTCTGCTTGAGTACACATGTGACTGACTGACTGACTGAGTATGGTTTTACGCCGTTTTTAGCAATATTCCAGCAATATCACGGCTGGGGACACCAGAAATGGGCTTCACAAATAGTACTCATGTAGGGAATCGAACCCGGCCCTTCGGCGTGACGAGCGAACGCTTTAACCACTAGGCTACCCCAGTACACATGTGAACTGAGCGCGAATTGGAGCATGACCATAACATTGAGTTATGATTATGCGGTTATATTTATTGCAAAGTAGGGGCGGGGTATGTGACGTGAGCACTGAGAAGGCCCCGAGACAACATTGACACCAGGCTCCAGCCGATCAGCGTCTTCTCTGTACTGGTTTCCGTGGCATACAGCGCATGCCCCTGTTCAAACACAGCATGGTATCAGCCTGTAGTCGATACCGACAGGAAAGTGATAATGTTATATTTATCATCTAATACTCCTAATAAATGCACCATTTCGTTTAACATTAATCATCACCTTATCTGTAAATTTACAACCGTGAGTCAATTTACTCGTCAGAAGTGATATCATGTCGGGCTGTAAGTTACCGAGTCCGGGCAAACCAGAAAGTGGAGATATCCTAAGCGACATTCTCCATCGTGTCACGGTGGCACTCAGCCATGTCGCTTTGCCCGCGACCCGGTAAACTTTAAAAGGGTGTTGGGATCATTTCTGACAATCTATCGCCACAGATTTATGTCACTAAATAGTGTAAAGCTGTAGTTGTAAAACTATAGTCTTTCCTGACTAAAATGCTAATGGAATATTTGTATTTTGTGCGCCGGTGTCATAACACCTTTCGCAATCACTGTGGGTGACTTTCTGAGACGGGACACGTAGAGATTAGACAGGTAAAGCTGCACATACCTGGGAGAATGGTACTTCTCATTGTCCATATATACCTTAACCCCGTGCTTATCAAGATGCAAATGAACACATGGTTCCAATGTATTTTCAGGTTAAATTGAGTGAGTGAGTGAGTTGAGTTTTACGCCGCACTCAGCAATATTCAAGCTATATGGCGGCGGCATGTAAATAATCGGATCTGGACCAGACAATTCAGGGATCAATAGCATGAACATCGATCTACGCAATTGGGATGCGATGACATGTGTCAACCAGGTCAGTGAGCCTGACCACCAATCCCGTTAGTTGCCTTTTACGACAAGCATGGGTTACTGAAGGTTCATTCTAACCCGGACCTTCACGGGTCCCAGGATAAATTGAGTTGAGGTGAACATACGTTTGGGGCGTTGGGGTAGCGTAGTATTTAAATTGTTAATTATTCGCGCCAAAAACCGGGTTCGATTCCCCACATGGGTACAATGTGTGAAGCCGATTTTTGGTGAATATTGCTAAAAGCGACGTAAAACCATACTCACTCAATCAGTGAAATTACGTTTATCGTGCACAGAGCCACGTCGGTTCATATGTGTGTACAGTCGTTGAAATCCACTCAGATATCTTACACTGTACAGTGGTGGCAATCCACTTAGATATCTTACACTGTACAGTGGTGGCAATCACTCAGATAACTTACACTGTACAGTGGTGGCAATCCACTCAGATATCTTACACTGTACAGTGGTGGCAATCCACTCAGATATCTTACACTGTACAGTGGTGGCAATCACTCAGATATCTTACACTGTACAGTCGGTGGCAATCCACTCAGATATCTTACACTGTACAGTTGTGGCAATCCACTCAGATATCTTACACTGTACAGTGGTGGCAATCACTCAGATATCTTACACTGTACAGTGGTGGCATTCCGCTCAGATATCTTACACTGTACAGTGGTGGCAATCCACTCAGATATCTTACACTTTACAGAGGTGGCAATCTACTCAGATATCTTACACTGTACAGTGGTGGCAATCCGCTCAGATATCTTACACTGTAGAGGTGTCCGAATCCACTGTAGAGGTGTCAGATATCTTACACTGTACAGTGGTGATATCCTACACTGCAATCCACTCAGATATCTTACACTGTAGAGGGGTGTGAATCCACTCAGATATCTTACACTGTACAGTGGTGGCAATCACTCAGATATCTTACAGTGTACAGTCGGTGGTAATCCACTCTGATATCTTACACTGTACAGTGGTGGCAATCCGCTTAGATATCTTACACTGTACAGTGGTGGCAATCCACTCAGATATCTTATACTGTACAGTGGTGGCAATCCACTCAGATAACTTACACTGTACAGTCGTTGCATTCCACTCAGATTCCTTACACTGTACAGTCGTTGGAACCCACTTAGATATCTTACACTGTACAGGGGTGGCAATCCACTCAGATATCTTACACTGTAAAGTGGTGGCAATCCACTCAGATACCTTACACTGTACGGTCGTTGCAACCCACTCAGATTCCTAATGCTGTACAGTCGGTGGCAATCCACTCAGATTCCTTACGCTGTACAGTCGGTGGCAATCCACTCAGATATTTTACACTGTACAGTCTTTGCAATAGGCTCAGATAACTTACACTGTACGGTCGGTTGCAATCCGCTCAGATAACTTACACTGTACAGTGGTGGCAATCCGCTTAGATAACTTACACTGTACAGTTGTTGCAATCCACTCAGATTCCTTATGCTGTACAGTCGGTGGCAATCCACTCAGATAACTTACACTGTACAGTCGGTGGCAATCCACTCAGATATCTTACACTGTGCAGTCGGTGGCAATCCATTCAGATATCGTACACTGTACAGTCTTTGCAATAGGCTCAGATAACTTACACTGTACAGTGGTGGCAATCCGCTCAGATAACTTACACTGTACAGTGGCGGCAATCCGCTCATATAACTTACACTGTACAGTCGGTGGCAATCCACTCAGATAACTTACACTGTACAGTTGTTGCAATCCGCCCTGATATCTTACACTGTAAAGTGGTGGCAATCCGCTCAGATATCTTACACTGTGCAGTCGGTGGCAATCCACTCAGATTCCTTACACTGTGCAGTCGGTGGCAATCCACTGAGATATCTTACACTGTACAGTCGTTGCAAAAGGCTCAGATAACTTACACTGTAGAGGGGTGGCAATCCACTCAGATATCTTACACTGACTTCGAGTTGGGCAGTGTTTCATGTTTCAGGGGTAATGTCCATTTTCATGTTTAAATGTTTTTTAGTATTATTCTGTAGGGGATCGAACAGTCCAAGTATGCACTACTGATCCGGTTTGATCAAAATGAAGATTTGGTACATTGTGTGTGGTCATGCCGGGACTGGTCGAAGAATGATGCTCATTTGGATGATCGCCGGATTGTCTGGCCCAGACTCGATTATTTACAGACCGTATAGCTCGAATATTGCTGAGTAAAACAAGAAACCAAACCAGGACTGATCTTTGCTTGTATTATCAATTGCACCTGTCCAGACTGCACATATAATATTACGCCTCTCCATGCGACACAGGTATTCATGTTCTCGCTCCACAACAATAGGACGGTTTGGGGTCAATACGATTGGACGAAAGCGACGACCGTGGCGATGGTGGGCTACGTCAACACCGACCTCATGTGCCTCGCAACGCAATGTCCCCCTCGTCACGCTATGCAACTATAAACTGTACGTTAAACGAAACGTTTGCTGATGAAACATATCATTACACTCCGAGAGTTACGTCCCCTTGCGTGACTATGCAAGATGGTTCGAGCCCCTGGTTCGAGCCCCTGCGTTTTGACCATATGTGAAGTCCAACCGTTGTTGCCTCTGCCTTGATAGGGCTTGAAGAGCTGCATGCATAATCAATACAATAACTCGAACATTTCCCTCTAGCGTAGCTACGACCCCTAGCCCCCTAGCGTTAGGAATGACGTCATGAGTTTGTGGTTCGTAATATTTGTCTTCTTTCTATTCCAGCTGATTACCCGGCCTCTGACCTCACAGATGCACAGAAAAGACACATATGGGTGCAGACGCAACTCAGGACTGTCACTAACAACTACCTTGACGGTATAAACATCGACTTTGAAGGTACAATACCGAAAACAAGAGTCGACCTCAGAGACGGATTAAGTGCACTTGTCAATGAGGCGTTCAAGACGTTCAAACATGCGCTGCCTCATTCTCAGGTAAATCATTGGTGTCACTCGTGGGTTTGGAGGCAATGATAACCTAGTGGACGCCAAAATGTACTGTTCGAAGTTGTCTCCCATAGTCAAACCAGGAGTGATTGTCCCAGATTCACTCCACATATGGGCTATGGTCCGTTATCTCCGACGTATTTGGTTTTAGGAGCAGGGGCCACCTTTTATAATTTATATTCGCTAGGCAGAGTTGCGTCCTTGGGTGTGCCGGAAGCGATTATTCATGGGCTTTATTCCCAGGTTCATTCTAAGAATGTTTCCAGGTATGTGTGCCCATTACCCACATGGATTTTACCAAAGTTATTGATGCCAAATGACACTTTTGGCCTTCCTGCAACACAGAGGGGGTAGCCTAGTGGTTAAAGTATCCGCCTGTCACGCTGAAGACCAAGGTTCGATTCCCTACATGGGTGCAATATGTGAAGCCCATTTCTGGTGTCCCCAGCCGTGATATCGCTGTAATATTGCTAAAAGCGGCGTAAAAACATACTCACTCACTTCAACCAAATGGTAAATGTCTACTTGCTATCAACACTCTAAGGTCCTCATGGACCAGTACCATACCAGGACAGCCATACCACTAGCCTTGACTGAGTGAGTGAGTATGGTTTTACACCGCTTTTAGCAATATTCCAGCAACATCACGGCAGGGGAGACCAGAAATGGGCTTCATACATTGTACCCATGTGGCGAATTGAACCCTGGGTTTTGGCATGATGAGCGAACGCTTTAACAACTAGCTACCCCACCGCACCACAAGCCTTGATCTTATTTAAGAACTGTTAAGTCACATCAGTGCAGACTGCTGGTACCGGTATCGGTGTTTTGACAAAGAATGCATGGCAATGTGTTATTCTAAGCTTAGAGCTAAATATTTCATTTATTTGCCACTCTGTTTCCAAAAGACTGAAAATACATTGCAACTTTGAAATATTAGCATCCGCTTTCATAATAAACATTTCATGGTACACGGCGGACTCCGCTGCGGTATCATAAATACAATCGGCGTCCAGCATGCCAGTAGTGGATGGCATGCCCTTCAATGGGTATTCAAATGTTTCTACATATTTCAGGTGACTATAGACGTTCCATACGGACCTGACTGTGTGTTCAACCGTTGCTATGACTACCCAGCCTTGTCAGTCGTGGTGGACGTTTTTTTCATTATGGAATACGATGAATTGGGTGAGGGCCTTGCCAGCCCCAACTCAGGAATTCCAAGAACATTTAAAGGTTAATCACATACTGAGTACATGCAAGTGCAATGTCTCTTATCTCAGTGTTTAAAGAAAGAGATATAACGAGTTTAGGCAATTAACATATATATGTCCATCTCAGACCTCCAAAGTCCGCTGTGATTAAGTTGTTTTTTGCAACATGGTAAGCGAATTGTTGTAAACCAATAGCTGGCAGTGCAAGGTTGGGGTTGTAAGGGGTTCATGATGGTAGGGTTATGGGTTCTGTTGGGGTTCATGGTGGTAGGGTTATGGGTTGTGTTGTGGTTCATGGTTGTGGGGTAATTGGTTCTGTTTTGGGTCATCATGGTAGGGTTATGGATTCTGTTGAGGTTTATGGTGTTAGGGTTATGAGTTCTGTTGTGCGTCATGGTGTTAGGGTTATGGATTCTGTTGTGCTTCATGGTGGTAGGGTTATGGGTTCTGTTGTGCTTCATGGTGGTAGGGTTATGGGTTCTGTTGTGCTTCATGGTGGTAGGGTTATGGATTCTGTTGTGGTTCATGATGGTAGGGTTATTAGTTCTGTTGTGGTTTATGGCGGTAGGGTTAAAGGTTCTTTGAAGGCTGTTACTGGTAGGGCAATGAGTTGTTTGGAGGTTGTTGCCGGTAGAACAGTGAATTCTCTAGGGGTTGTTGCTTATTTGGTTATGGGTTATGTTGGGGTTGTTGCTGCTACGGTTCAGAGTTTTTGGGGGGTTGTTGCTGGTAGGGCGATGAGCTGTTTGGAGATTGTAACTTGTAGGGCTATGAGGCCTTGCTGTGCTTTTGCTGGCTGTTTTATGCATTCTGGAGTCTAGAGCAAGGTTTGTTTCTGGAGTAAACACAAAAAGACATTCCCTTTGAGGCAATCAACTATTATCATAGAATCTAGCCACGAATAAGGAAGCTTCCTAACTTTTTAGGCCAAATCTCATTTTGTATTTGCTCCCGTTACATACTTCTATACTAATTGTAATGTTACTGTGAATACACTGCTACAGGTCTGAGCCGCTACATTGACCTTCTACCGTCACAGAAACTCCTCCTCGGTGTTCCCAGGTACAGTTATAAGTACAAATGCGCGACCCTCACTAAGGTGAGCTCATATATCCCTTCCCAGAAACATTGTAGAGACGCGATGCTGCCTGGTAACCGAATATTCCCCCGTAAAATGATGTCATATCCAATACATTCCACGTTCGGATTACTGGGGTGTCTTGACTTCGCAAACGCATAAACCATGTTTCATTATATTACATCTTGTAAAACTTGTTGAAGATGAAGATGAGATCTAGGTCACGGGGAATGGGGTAGGAAAACGGGATGCTGGGTTTTGCAGGGGCGGATCAGGAGGTGGATAGGGTGAGTGGTGTTGCAGGGATGCACACACACTCTCCCCCCGAAAAAATATTCCCTGAGGGGCATTTCCCCCTAACCTTTGAACTTCATGATTTCTGTACACCCCTCCCCTTCTTCTAAAGTTCAAAGTGACAATTGACCCAACCCATTCACTCAGTCAAGGCACATTTTAAAATGGCTGTGTATATACTTTGAAATTACCTTTTCCACAGAATGACCTGTGTAAAACATCGGGTGCACGGACCTCCATGCCTTTCAGCGACATCTACCGTCTGCTGTTAGATTCGGGTGCTCAGCGTGTGTGGAATAAGGCCAATCTCTCACCTTTCTTCAAATACAAGGTAAACATTGGACATTCATTCTGTACAATTATGTGGTCAAGGACATGGGCGACATTACATAACCACCGGTACTGTTGCTTTCATAACTGCTGTGTTTCATGACAGCTGCGCCATATGCAAGGAAGGGCTGCTTGGAGGCCAAGTGGATAAAGCGTTCGTTCATCACGCCAAGTTTGGAGTTTGACTCTCTTCTTGTGTTCAATGTTTGAGGCTTATTTCTCGTGTCGTCCGCCGTGTTATTGATTGAATATTGTGAAGAGCTACTTGTGAAATAACATATTCACTCATTCAGCTTGTCATTTAAGCAGCAATATTCCAGCCATATGACGGTGGTATCTAAATATGCTTTCAGGACCAGACAATGCGGTGATTGAATTTGTGAGGAAGGATACTCGCAGTCGGGCAGTTGTACCTAAGTTGTTTCTTAGTCACGACAAGCATGACTGGGGTCCTATTCTATGGGGCGGTGGGATAGCCGAGTGGTTAAAGCGTTCGCTCGTCACGCCGAAGGGTATAATGTGTGAAGCCCATTTCTGGTCTCCCCGCCGTGATATTGCTGGAATATTGCTAAAAGCGGAGTAAAATATACTCACGCACTCACTTTTATTCCAAACTCACGCATGGGTTACTGAAGATCAATTCTAACCCGGATCTTCACGGGTTGTTCGTATTCTGTAAATACGCGCGTAAACTACGGCAATGAACGGCATTCACCCACTCACAACGCTTATTACTACAATTGGGGCCGTGGCGTAGAAAAGTGGTTATAGCGGCCGCTCGTCACGCCAAAGACCCGGGTTCGATTCCGCACATGGGTACAATGTGTGAACCTCATTTCTGGTGTCCCCGCCGTGATATTGCTGGAATATTGCAAAAAACCATATTCACTCACTCGCTACTACTACAACTGCGATTTTTAGTAACAATGAATGATTCAAACACAAAGATGAATAATGTTTTCACTTTGCCTTTGCAGGAACCAACGACAAACGAGTTATACCAAATTTGGTACGACGACCCCGAAAGTCTGTTGTATAAGTATGCTCTAGCAGCCAGGACGAACCTCCGTGGGGTGGGTGTGTGGCACGACGACTGCGTGGATTACGATAAGTCAACGATGTTTAACTTCGTCCGCCAGTGGATGTGGCATGTACTTCCTCTAAGATCTGTGAAAGACATTGTCACATAAACCCCTTCTCTTCTCTAAGGGCACCATTTTTATTTTTAGTGTTTCTCATCGCCCCGCCGACCCTTCTAATTTTATTGACGACTCTCCCAAAAACCCCAAAAACCCCCACAAAAACAAACCCAAAACACAAAAAAAACAAACAACAAACAAAACAACAACAAAAAAACCAACTTTTTTTTATTCCAACACCGCCGACTCGAACCTAAAACGTACCGCCTCGTCATATAAAATGTTTATCTAACTAAAATGTTTTAATCAGTCGCTGCCACAAGTCCAAAGAACGCGAGAAATTGTAATAAGAATGACAATAAATAAGAAACAAGAACATTATTCGGATAATTTTGTCTTTATTCAGTTTTTTCCCCCGACCGACAGACCCATGTTCAGAATTTGGTGGCTACGTGAAACACATAAAAAAATGATGCCCTAAATCCCCGGAATCTGTATTTTTGACACAGAATCAGGCCGAATTAGCCTATGAAATGAAAGCGCATGCTCGGATTTCTTTTTAGTAGCTTGAAAACGTATTTGTTAAAACAACATCTTCATTAACGTTCTGGATATCCTGAAAATCGTGCTTCTACAAAACATCGTTTGGTTCGTCTTTTCAGAGAAACAACTGTATATGTATTTTTTATAAATCGCTTTCGTTTAGCAGATGCGCATAGCAACACACTTTTGTGACTTAATATGTATATCTGACTCTGCAGTCCTGTTGTAAAATATTAATCAAAGAGCGAAGTTGTATTGATTATCTGTCCCGAGTCTTAAACATATTGCGTGAGACCAAATAAGTTATTTTGTGTTTGTACATCAGCCACCAGACTAAATGGATGAACCAAATACACTTCAAGGGGATATCGAACTAACCAATGCCGCTTAGGGTGGTTGATAGTTTTATAACAATATATAAGAACTAAACACAATGGGGCTTAGTTTTATCTGTGGATTTATAACAGGAATATATTCTTGCCATATCACTGCGTCGCCAATTCAGAGCTGGAAATTATTTATATCTAAGACACTTAGATGTCATGTGATATCACGAGGAAACGTTTCGCAGTGAAGAAAGTGTGAGCTTGTTGGGTTCCAGAGATCCGGGTTAGAATTGATCTTGAGTAACCCATGTTTGTCGAAGAGGCGACTAAAGAGATCGGGTGGTCAGGCTCGCTGATTTGGTTGACACATGTCATCGGCTCCCAGTGGCGTAAATGGATGCTTATGATGTTGATCACTGGATTGTCTGGTCCAGACACGATTTTTTACAGACCGCCACCATTTAGCTGGAATATTGCTGAGTGCGGCGTTAAACAACATACCGACCCTTCCAACACTAGATGGTTCCCTGATGGTTCTTACTGCTTCCATTAGCATTGCTATATCTAATAGTAGCCTTTCTACTCAGTAACATTTTGCGGCGTTAAACAAACAAACCAAACTGACGTCTAACACCTGATCACCGACGTACCAAACATATACTACTCACACTTTGCTAAAGATCACAAAAATTCGCAACTTTTCTAAAACTTAGATTCACAATTTGAAATTGTATCCATTAAAACTGGATAAATAATAAAATGGTAACCCTTCTTTAGGCAAACAGCCACTTTAATCTAACCTTGTGCACTTGATACATGAGTAACAATAAAAATGGTTTTCATGGCACTAATCAACCATTTTGCAAATCATGGCACGGGTCATTGATAAGTACACAACGCCTATCAATAGGAGGTATGGGATCCACCAGATGAAATGACATATAGAAAACTTGGATCCATGCTTACAATAGGATTAGATATTTAAACCAAATTTGACTCACTGCGAGGTTGGATGACGCTTGCGCTCCGTCTAAATCCTCTCTAATCATCAAGAATGGCAGCAACCCGAGCCAAAACAAGTTCAAAGACAATCCACAATCAACCAAAATCACCAATCTCGAAAGATTTAGGTCCGATAGCGTTTCTAAACAAAAGACCTACTCAAACGAAAAAGTCGATGACACTACCGGAAATGAAGACCGCATGGCCATGATGGCGGACGAGCAGATGGATATGGGGGGCTTACTTAACAGCCCAAATAGATAAGCTAGCGGACAAACTAACCGGCAAAATGGACATGATACAGGAGGAACTGACAAATACAAATACAAGAATTTCAGAGGTAATCAGCTCTATCTCTTTCAATTCGAAGTCAATTGATGAAAATCGTCGAGAAATCGAAACCCTGAAAACGACAATCATGGAGTTACGAGAAGACATGGAAAAGCAAGATATGGTCTTTGAGATGTACTCACGGAAGAAAAACCTACTAATCTATGGGGTTCCGGATGCCAGGAATGCCGAGGCCGAAGTGAAAAAATTGTTCGTGGAAATGAATGTGGAGAATGCCAACCAAATGGACTTCGTAAATATCCATGAATATTGATGATAATGACCTAGTCTTAAGTATTGATGACTGTCTTTTTCTGGAAACTTTGTTGATGAACATTAGAGGTAAATCAATATCCTACAGCGCCTACATTAAGAAACTAAAAAGAGAAAAAACTAAAGATCTGGGGGCTAAAATAATTGATACTGAAGACACAATTCGTAGTAACTTTCAAAATATAGATGAGGCTTTCTTGTCCGATTTAACCACATATAAGTTAGAACTTGAAAATATCAAAGAGGAAGAGATCAAAGGTATTCAATCCGCTGTTACTTTCAGATCAGAAATAGAATCTTGTGGCAGGAAGAAGGTGCAAAACCTTCAAAATATTTTTGTAATCTTGAAAACAGAAATTATATTAGTAAATCAATTAATTGTCTGGTATCGGACGATTGCGAGTTAATTACTGATGAAAAGGACATCCTGTGTAGGCAAAACAATTTTATCAAGATTTATACGCTGAAAAAGATAATAAGACAGACCATAATGTAATACTATCCAAACTTGATGTCCCATGTCTTCCAAATACTTTGATAGAAAAATTAGAAAAAACAATCAATATGAATGAAATACTAAACGCCTTGAAGTCTATGAAAAACGATAAAAGTCCTGGTATTGATGGATATTCAATAGCATTTTTCAAATTCTTTTCGAGTGATCTGGGAAAATCGATATTCCGCTATATAAATGGAACATTCAAAAATAATTATATAACTTTAACTATGAACAGGGGAGTAATAACTTGTATACCTAAGCAAGGAAAAGACAGAAAAGTGCTAAAAAAATAGCGCCCCATTTCTTTGCTAAATTCCGTGTATAAACTGGTTAGTGCTTGTATCACTAATAGACTAAAATGTACTCTTGACTATTTAATACAGAAAAATCAGACTGGTTATATTCCTGGGAGATGTATTAGCGAAAACATCAGACTCCTTTATGACATCATTGTTGAAACTAGAAAACAAAATATTAAAGGGCTCCTGCTATTAATTGACTTTGAAAAGGCCTTTGATTCTGTTTCAAAACCATTTATTTACTCTGTCATGAAAAGGTTTGGACTTGGCAACTATATGCTCAAATGGATCTCTCTTTTAACAAGTAATGCCACTTCATGTGTCATTCAAAATGGCCATTTATCAGATTTTTTTCCTAATTCTAGAGGTTGTCGTCAAGGGGACCCAATTTCACCGTATCTTTTTCCTTTTTGTCGCCGAAAGTTTAGGCATTATGATGGGAATTATTATTTTGGGAATATTGATATCAAGGGTATTGTACTAAACCGTAAAGGCATATAAATTAGGCCAATATGCGGATGGCACAGAGGCTAGTCTAAAGGCAGCTATGGATACTCTGTCTTTTACACAAAATTTCAGGATTGAAAATTAATATTGATAAAACCAAAGCAATAAGGTTAGGGGCTATGATTAATAGTAAAGATATTTTTTGTAGTTTACTATGTTTGATTTCACATATAGGCCAATGATTAATTGACATGCCACAATCGGATTCTATTAATGATGTGGTTAATCTAAAATGATTATGATTTATCACATTTTGCTGTTTAGGTATCAGTGAATGAATTCGACATCAAAGTGCATTATATGAATGACCACTAAGAGGTGTTGCGGTTAAAGCGGGATATGTTATTGTCGATTTTGTGATATATGATATCGAATGACAACATCTCCAAGCAATCAGTCACATTCATTATCTAAAATAACAGGACAATCCCTATCGAACCTTAGGTATTACATATTGATCACCAACTAACACTGTCATCAGTCTTCGTTAGAGTGATGAATCGCATCTTATACATTGCCCGTCAACCGACACTCCAACAGTGTGTACGTTTCTTATCATCACGTTGCTTGGGATGATGTTACTAGACCTGCACACGAGCCATGCTCTTCGTGATAGCCCATCAACTTTAATACTAATATAATAATAATAATAATAATAATAATAATAATAATTCCTGGGAAAAGTCCCATTCGCTGTCTGGGCTGCGTGTAGAGGGGGCAAGGGCCCTGAGCTGATGATGAGCCTTACCAGCCTGACTGTGCCAGGATCACCCGAACCCTCTCTGCTGCATACAATCTTTAATCTGTAAAACATAATAATAATAATAATAATAATAATAATAATAATAATAATAATAACCTATCTTGGAATGCAAGTTCGAGACAAGCCCAGAATGCCCAGATTCAAGACAAACTTCGGGCCGAGTATAAATCTCGTTTAAAGAAAATCTGGAGCTCAGAGCTAAATGCTCGAAACAAGGTCAAAGCTACCAATACTTTTGCTGTGCCAGTCCTTTCCTATTCCTTTGAGTAGTTGATTGGACGAAACAAGACATCCAGAGTCTTGACCGTCTGACCAGAAGGATCATGTCTGATAACAGAGCCCACCACCCTCGTTCCTCTCTTAACCGTTTATACATGCCAATCAATTCTGAGGTCGGGGTTTGATTAATGTGGAGGCTCTTCATGATAGAATTTTATTGTGTACTTTTGCACATATTTATTTGTCAGATGATCCTCTGGTTATGCATGTGAAGACTCATGATGAAAGCAAGGAATTCCACAGCTATTTTAAGCGTGCCAAGGTTGTTGGACAGAATCTGAAATGTGAGGTGGACTTTGTTAATGGCGATGTACTGCTGGACGGTACAGTGATGGGAGTAAACCAGGTGAAGTCCTTCACCAAGTCTGCCCAGAGTCGGTCTTTTGTGGAGAAGCTTTCTGAGAAGCCATTGCATCGTGTGTACATGCAGTGTGTTGAACAGAATAGCAATCCCACCGACTCCTTCGCCTGGAT